GATGTTCGGCAATGTGATTAGTTTTGTCCTGTTTCTTAGTACCTCGTTTGTGTTCAGTAAGTCTTATGTTTAAGTTCCTGCCATTTTCGCCGATATAGGAGGCGTGGCAGTCTGAGCAGTTTATTTTGTAAACTGTACCTTGACGTTCGTTGTGTTGCTCTTTGTCCTTTGTGTTCGTTAGTACTTGCCGTAACGTTGTGATTGGTTTATGTGCGACACGTATTCTGTATGGTCGTAAGATAGGCAAGATAGTCTCAGACGTACCTTTGATGTCAGGTATCATTGCTGTTGTCACTGAGTTGTTCGTTTCGTTGGGTTCGTTGGGTTTGTAAGTGTTGCGTTTGATAACGTCAGAGTTATAGTTGTTTTTGTCAAAAACACGTTTGAGATAGTTGTTTTCGTTGTGTAGAGCGTCCGGTGAATCACATATGATTTGTGCACGTCTTCTTAATGTTCTGATTGTGGTAGCTTTGTATGATGTAGGGTTGTAAGATGATTGGTCTAATAGTCAGTCAGTATGTGTGTGCTTGCGATAAACTGTTGTTCGTAGTTTTTGATTGCCATGTTTTACCAAACAGTCGAGAGAAGGAAGAGTTCAGTTTTCTTTGACATCTTTGGTAGATTTTATGTGGACAATTGACAACCACACATTACAAATAAAAACATCTCAACTAAATCACACATCACAACTAAAAATAAAAATATTTCACTTCACACTAATTCACAACGACAATACACATTTCCTGTACACACAATACAGTGACGTAAGAACCAGATAATAAATACGGCTAACCTGACGTTTATTCCTCATTTGACTCTGAAGATGACTATTGTTTAGGTAAATGATGATCGTCCAGGTTTACTTGATTTGTTGTTGTTGATGACGTTTCAACTGGTAGTCATCTTCAGAGTCAATAAACTTAGAATTTGACTCTGAAGATGACTACCGCTAAGATTGTTGAAACGTCAGTCAACAACAACAAAAACAGTCCTTCTCTGGACTTTATTAACCTGGACGATCATCATTTACAAACATATAATGATACTCCCGGGTTCAAACCATTTACTTTATTACTACCGCTAAGGTTGTCGAAATGTCAGTCAACAACAGCAAAAACATTCCTTCTCATGACTATACCAACCCGGACGATCGACATTTACAAACATGCAACGATACTCCCGGGTTCAAACCATTTACTTTGTAACTATTGACAATAAGCTGCATTGTAAAGGAAAGCAAAACTTGTTCAAAGGTAATGGAGAGGTTAAATAGCATACTTGTCCATGGAAAAAATGGGAATCTGTGAAAATTTATGTAGGGGGGGATAGCATGTCCAAGCATGCATCACCTCCGTTTTTTGCCGACGCCACTTTTGACTAATCCCTGTGTGTCTAACAAAATGTTGTTATTTGTATTGAGAAAACAATTCATTTTTAAAGTTAGAACATTTGTAAAATAAGCAAATGTTAAACTTAGGAAAAATGTATTTACACAGAGAAAGAACACAACCGAATCTATTTTTATGAAATGTGGATTCATGTAACACAGTGAGCTTTTAAAATTTTACTTTTGATCATGTTTGTTTAACAGTTTTAATATATACTTTAATTACAACTTACTGTTGTATCTGCACTCTCTTCATTTATCATACATAAAAATAATTGCGTGCAGTTGATGTTTGCCGCGTATTCATAATTTACAATGCTTTATTCAATAACAAAGGTTTTTTATAATATGAACTGACTAATGCAAGAATATACATGTATGGAATTCTTCATTAATGAAGGGAAAAAATCCCTTCACAGTTTTGAAAATCGTGAGTTAACCATTGGCATTCAAATCCCGTCTTAGATAGGTGATTCTTTATTCCTGAGTTAAAACTTGTGAAACTTTATAAAATTTAGCAGTAGTCGTTTGGAATTTGACTAATCTCAATGTTATTATGTAATCTGCATGAGGTTCTTATTTATGTATTTTTATTTCTATAACAATTGTTTTTAGTCAGTGATGTATACTTAGTTATATAACTAGAATGTTCTATATAGATGTCATTAATGTTTTATTATACTGTGTGTCGAAGGAGATCCTGACTCACTCTTCATTTTCGTTCGCTAATTAAATGTGTTTATGTAACAAAACTTACATGGATAAAAGATGATGTAACAATAAGGTATGAATTATGATCACCATTTTTAAACTGATATGTATGTGGTCGCGTTGTTTATATTAAATCTCTCATCCGTTTGTTGAGTATCTGACATGTAAGGAACAAAAGGAAGCATACTTTGTTCACACGGTTGTCTTATTTCTAAAACGAAGGTAATTTTTCTAAAAATAAAGCTACATTACCGACATAACAAATTAGCTAAAGCAGCATCTCGATAAAGTATGACTAAACATGCATGAGAAATCTCACCTAAATTGATATACCAACTTTCTAACTATTGAGAATAAGCTGTATTCATTTATCACCTCCCTTTTTTGCCGACGCCACTTTTGACTAATCGCTGTGTGTCTAACAAATTGTTGTTAATTGTATTAAGCAAACCATTCATTTTAAAAATAAGAACATTTGTAAAATAAGCAAATGTTGAACACAGGAAGAATGTATTTACACAGAGAAAGAACGCAAACGAATCTATTTTTGTGAAATGTTGATTCGTGCAACACAGTAAGCTTTTAAAATTATACTTTTGATCATGTTTGTTTAACAGTTTTAAGGTTTACTTTCATTGCATCCTTTACTGTTGTATCTACAGTGTTTTTATTGATCATAAGTAATTATAATTTTGTGCAGTTAATGTTTGCCACGTACTCATAATTTACAATGATTTATTCAATAACAAAGGTTTTTTATAATATGAACTGATTTGTGCAAGAATATACATGTATGGAATTTTTGATTAATGAAGGGAAAAATGCATTCACTGTTTCGAAAATTTGGTCTTAATCATTGTCATTCAAATCCTGTCTTAGATAGGTTGTTCTCTATTCCTGAGTTAAAACTTGTGATACTTTATAAGATTTAGAATTTATCCTTTGGAATTTGACTAATCTCGATGTTATCATGCACTCTGTATGCGGTACTTATTTATGTATTTTTATTTCTATGGCAAATGCTTTCAGTCAATGATGTGTAATTAGTTATATAACTAGAATGTTCTATATAGATGTCATTAATGTGTTATTATACTGTTTGTTGAAAGAGATCCTTACTCACTCTTCATTTTCGTTCGCTATTTAAATGTGTTTATGTACCAAAACTTACATGGATGAAAGATTGATGTAACATTAAAGTATGAATTATGATCGCCATTTTTAAACTGATATGTATTTGGTCTTGTACTAATTCAATTGATTTCAGTAATTTTCAGTATAAGGTGCTACATAAATATGTAGCAATACACTTAATTTTCAAAGACGAGCATTTACCCACTTTCATCCTTCACCCATACACATTTATCCTTCACCATTACAAAATACACAGGCAATTCAAAATCAGACATTTTATATTAAGAATTATACATTAAAATGATCTAACTGCTAACCAAGCAAAAGGAACATTGTATTAAATGGGTAAACAGAACAACTTACAAAAGGAATGATATCTGAATCATGTGGGATATTCACGATGAATTATATACCAACACTACCAATAAGTTTACTGACATGGATTGAGGCAATAACTATCACATAATTTTTTAGCTTTTTACACACGTCTGATAAGAAGTAGGGGCATTTTTATGTGACTTTGATTTTACCCATAAATATACTAGCTTAATGTTTAGATATTTGACTCTGTCATATGATTTTTTTATGCATACAACCTTTGTGCTTACTTTGTACATTTAGAATTGCAACAAAGGAACGAATGAATAACAATAAAGCCTTCGTAGTTGCTGGATCACAAAAATCCACTACTTTGCTTCATTATTTTATATTTCCTTGTTTTAATACAATAGAAAGCAGTGAAAGGTTTTACTGAGCTACATTTAGATACATTTTGGTAGTATTATATTTATAAGTTTGACCTCAGTTTAATGACCCAGTTATTTACATCTTTCCGAACCTTTAAAGCTCATTTAGACAATGCTTTCTCATATTAATTTATTACTAGATACTTAATAAAAAAGTTTATCTTTACTAACTTCAAAAGGTTAGGCAAATTATAATTCGGACGCAGCGTATTAAATATTTTTTAGCTCACACATTTGAACGCAAGCGATCACAAATATCAATTTTATCCTTTCAAACGACCGGTACTAGCAACCTGTACTTAATAGGATTAATTGTCTGTCTGGTATATAGTCCAATTTCGGTTGGAATAAAGCACAGATGTGGGGATAAAACACGCATGTGGGAATAAAACACGGATAAGGGGATTAAATCTGGATCTTCTTTAAAATTTACTTCTTTTTATGTGGTTGTGTTTAGCAAAATTATCATGCAAATGTTTTGCATGGTGTGCTTTTGTTTAAATTGTTCCATGTGCCAAATTGAAGGATAGTAAAACCAAAATGTTTTAAAACATCAATCAAAAAATGCTTCTCAAGAATTTATTTTACATGTGAATATAGTTAGCATATGTTGTTCGTCCATCGCAAGCGATGATGACCTTGACCAGTTAACTCAAGTACTAGAAGATTGGGTACGGTGAGTTCTGAGGTGGCTAATGAGTCCAATCTAGGCACGGAATGTTCTTGAACACGAAGGGCAAACCAGAGATGCATCTGATGTTGAAGCACTGGCTGCTCTTGATTTCCGCAGCTCACGTTTCTGTTTGGCATCCACAGTCCGCCTTTCTTCTGATGCTTGACAGCCCTTAAAGATGAGATCGCGCCAGGTTGATCGGTTCCCTGCAAGTTTGTCCCATGTTGCGGTGTTGATGTTAAAGGACTTCAGTGAGGTCTTTAATGTGTCCTGAACCGCTTCTTCTGGCCTCCGACTGATCTTTTGCGTTGGAGCTCTCCACCATAGCAGTTGCTTAGGTATACGCTCATCTGGCATGCGAGCAATGTGGCCCGCCCATCGGATCTGTGCTCTCATCAGCAAGGTGTAGATGGATGGCTGGTTGGATCGAGAGAGGACATCTGTGTCTGGCACCTTGTCTTGCCACTTGATTCTCAATATCCGACGGAGACAGGTTGTGTGGAAGTGATTCAGCTGTCTCGCATGCCTCTGGTAAACAGTCCAGGATTCACATGCAAAAAGGAGAGTTGGTAATACTATGGCAGAGTAGACCTTCAGTTTCGTTGCAGTGGTGATCCCTCTACGCTCCCAAACGTTTGTGCGCAACCTGCCAAATGCGGAGCTGGCAAAGACATTATCTATACATTGTTTTTCTGCCTGAGAAAGTGACCCTATGTCTCAAGTTGCAGGTTAAATGTAGCGGGTAAAATGAAAGAGAATTGCACTTTTAGAAGTAGATGTTCGTAGAAAAAGTTTATGTTAAATTCTCGGGGATTCTTTATTTCTGTATATGCACACTTGAATGTGCATTATGTTCTCTAAGTATTAACGTTCTCTGCTGTTAACACTAAAATATATTCATAACACTGAAAACTCATTACTGCAATTGTTATGCATATAGGCCCGTTCACACGATCCGATTGTTTCCGTTCCGAGTTTAATTTGGTTATTGCTTAGACGGTCGGATAGTTTTGTTGATATTTATGTTCGTTTAGATATTTATGTTTGTGTTATCCAGAACATTTATCGATATATTTTTCGTATTTTGTTCTGGTTAACTTGTCGTTTTGAAATCTATGTAATTTGCCAAATCTATGAGATAGTTGTTTTCGTTGTGTAGATCGTCTAGTGAATCGCATATGATTTGTACACCTCTTGTTAATGTTTTGATTGAAGTGGCTTTGTGTGATGTTGGGTTGCAAGATGATTCGTCTAGTAGTCGGTCAGTATGTGTTGGCTTGCGATTACAAGTTTATCGCCTATACCAACCTGGACGATCTACATTTGCAAACATGTAACGATACTCCCGGGTTCAAACCATTTACTTTAAATATATTTTTGTTACCAGGTTTATCTATTTACTTGGATTCATTCATGTACAGGAAGATCAATAATTGTTGGGTGGGGGCTCATATTAATTTATGTATATGATATGTTTTTATTCTTCAGTTGTTAGCTATTTCATGTAGTTTGCCTATTTTTTTTAGAATAATAATCTAACCAATGAAAAATGGTTTTCGTCATAGGCGTACAGATTCTTACAACTTTTACACAATTTTGGATCAGCTCTCATAAAAATTATGCCCATTAATTTTTCATTGGTTTTCTTATTACAATGTTTTGTTGACAATTTTTATTGCTTTCATCACTTTTGTTGACTTCTTGACCAGGGGCGGATCTAGGATTTTTCAAACATCAGTCATAAAACGTCGGAGGCGCTTCGCACCTGGGGGGGTCTGAGGCATTCTCCCCTGAGAAATTTTGAATTTCAGAGCCTTGAAAATGCCATTTTCAGCGTTTTAGAGAAATACAAAATGTATTTTGTGGGCATCGTTTATGCGTAAAAGCAACACATTTTGCTTACGTTTTTTTCAAAAAAAAATGAAGTGAACAAACTTGAATGTTTTGCCAAATATTCAGGCTCATTATCATGCCAAATATATGGCTCATTAGCATGCCTAGGAACGTGAAATTTATTTTACAATAATGCTATTCAAAAACAGATATAGTCTTTAAAAATTTCTACCAAGTTGTCAGGCATAGACCCCCCTAGAGACCCCCATTCAAACCTCTATGTAATGAGTTAAGTTAGAAATTTGGTACTGAAAGTAGAAAAGCTCAGACTTCAAATTATGCAAGTTTATTGTAACCCTTTACAAATCTCCACATCAGTGCCAGCAAATTCACCTTTTGAGAAAAAACTCAAAATTTTTTTCTGCCAAAGATTAAGCAAAAATTATCAGAGTGAAAATTTGCAGTTAAGGACAGCTTAATGCCATAAATGTTTATTAGGCATTTCACTAGACTATTATCTCCTGTAAGTATATGCAAGGTGTGCTATATAGCAATCACTAGTAGCATTGTATTTGCAAATACAAACAGAATGTAACCAACATATCTTTAATTATATAATTACATGAATGTTAAAATTGGTTCATGTGTCATGCTTACTGGTTATGATAAATATCTTTTCATAAGATCAAAGCTCATTTAAATGTAAATCTGAAATAGTTTAGTTTAGAAATTATAATGATCATCAGAAAAATTACCTAGTGATCATGAAAAATACTTTGCTGTTTTGCCAAATTTCAAGGTTTATCTGCGTACATAGAAAGACATTTTTACTTTATAGAAAATGCTTTTCATACATCAATAGCCCTTTTGGAATTTATGGCAAACAATCTGGTATGAGCCATAGATTAACACACCTTTGCATCTCTACATGAGGTGTTCAGTTAGAAAAGGGGACAATATGTGACATGGGACAACATTTCATGTATGTGAAATACTCAGGTTTAATACCATTTCAGTCAAATTGTCAAAATAAAAAGCTTCATGGATCAGAAGACTCAAAATCACAGGTTATAGTAAACAGCTTCTCATGTAATCAATGTTAGTTTTCTCAAATCTTAAACAATATGTAGTATAACTGTCCAATGATTGAATGATCAATGATCATAAACTTAAAAGCCCCAAACATTTGTTTATGATAAAGTAAATAATAGTATGCGCCTTATGGCTACAGATTTTTTGTCCATTGAAATATATTTGCAGGAATGTAGGATTTCGCTGCTATATAGCGGCCACGATTCCCCAAGCACTAAAGAAATCATAGCTAAAAGTCCTTCGTCAACAACAATTTTAGAAGCATCAATCTGCTTACCAAACGCCATATTGACATAAATCGCATCACACACTCGCTTAAATTGACTTTGATATATTACATTCATGCATATACTTCACTTGTCCTTTACTTACGCTTTTGGATGTAAATTTCTGCTGATAAAACTCAAAAGAATGTTGGCTTTCTTTTGAACATCAATGACTGATATGTCGCTCGCGAGATCGTCTTTGCCAAGAATTTACAATTTATCCATAAATTTTTCATCCTCTTGAAAAAATTCACAGTTTGGACAGCAGCATTCATGTCAATATATGAATTTGTAAAAGATTTCGATAAATTCCATCTGATTCTAGTTTAGTTTCTATCATGCTTATAAAAATTACTATGAAACGATCAAACATTCAATTCAGACAGTGAGCTTGACTATGTTAGTTCAGTTGGCTATCAGTCGAAATCCGTCAAACCAATCACAATAAAACAAAAACTCAAATGAACCAATTGTAAGATAGCAATTGGACTCCCTTATACGTCCGGCCACCCCTATTATCAGTCGAGACCATTCCAGACTGTCCACTGATCTGGCCATTGACCAATAAAACAAGCGTTTTGGCGTTCATAGACTCCTTTATCTGTCGAACCAGTCAAGCCACCCCGCTTATCAGTCGGTTATTCCAGGTCAATTAAAATTCAACTGATCTGGTTACCAACGAGATATTCATTGGATTAGTCATTAATTTTCAATAATAAATAAAGCTGGATTTTTATCACGAAGTAAATGCGATAAGAAAGTAAGAATAATTAATGAATTTTTAATTAATATGAATAGGCAATTTTTGAATTTCAAACATCAGTCTCGCGGATGTCTCTATGACGGATTTGACATACTCTAGATCCGCCCCTGGATCAATGATAGCCAGACTGATAAAATGTTTAGTCCTTCTATGTACGTTTTTATATTCTTTTACTGTTAAAAATAATAGACATTTTACATTGTTAGTCGTAAAGTGTCCCTTCCAACAAAAATTTTTTTTAGCAATACCAAATCTGTCGATGATTTTAAGCCTCGTTGAGGGAAACATTTTGAATTTGGTCAAATCATTTGATTTTTATAAAACCGTTAAATTCACTAAAATCGTATATTCTTGTGAACCATGTCCGTGATAATGAGGAGTCTGAAACTAGCTAATTTTCTGACGTCATCCAAGGTACACGTGTTACACGAGTCGTGTATTCAATTGCTAACAAGTCAATGCTGGCTGAGGCACAACTTAAGTCTATAAGCGCCTAAAAGCATTGTCTTTGCACAAGTAAAAGCAGAAAAAAGGTAAATATTTGCGTTGCAGCCAATTGTGCGAATGAGTCAAGCCTTTGCTCTCGTATGAGTCTTCACACTATGCCTTATAATAATAAAAGGCCCGAGACCATGCGAAGACGGAATATCTGTGTTTTAGAGCAAAGCGCGTGTTTGAGCCTTCCAGTGCTTCAACACTTTGTTCGGCTCGATTAGAATCAGAGGATTTGGAGCGTCAGCTTAGTAGTTTTCCGAATCAAAAGAACGCTAATTTTCCAGGGCTTCAAAAAGATAAGATTAGAATTTCTGTCACGTATCCCGGAATAAAATTTTTGTCAGAATTATCTGACTGAACACTCAATTCTGATTTTGATTTATCGCTTTTTTCTCAAGACATAATTTTCTCGAATGTTATAATTAAACAGCGCAAAAGAACGTATATGTTTAATATAAGCTAAATATGCCCGAATGCTGACTATATTGGATGACGTCAAAATACCTTCTAGTGCCAGTTCCTTTTGTATTATAGAAAACGACGGCGTTGGGCCAATAATACACAACCTCAAGATGCCATAAAAGCTTGTTGATTTGACCGAATTTCTCAATTTTTTCTCAGAAAGGCTTAAAATCATAGAAAGATTTGATATTGCTAAAAAAATTTTGGTGGCAATAATGAAAAAGTGTCTGAGTGAGGCAATGTCTGTCTGTTTGTCGTGATATCTTCGGCTCTGTCTTCATTCATAGTCGCAAATGCGAACGATAACGAATAGAATTGTTTTGTCTAGTATAGTCAATGCTTGAAACTTGATAGCTACACTGTGCAGTCTGTGCTTGTATTTTGTTCGATATTTTATTCGTATATCACGTTGTTTATCTCTCACCCTGTGTTCTGTTTTTTGGTGAGAAAAATGTAAAGCAGACAGGATATAGTTCTCTTTATATTTTAATTAGTAATGACGACTATTTAGATTTGACAGATCGTCAAAAAGGACGAAGAATTTAAATATATTATGGCCATAAAAAAATAACTACATCAGCAATGATATATGTACCATGTGCAATGCCTCCTCATTTTAACAATAAACATAAAAATTTAAATTGAAGCAGAATCATCGGCAACATAAGTCCTATCAATAAGCAAATATTCGTGCAACACAACAAACCGATTTCATATATCTTTTCACCACACCATTGTTAGACAAATAAGATATAATATTCATTTAAAAAAATCGTTTTAATTCAAAATGGTAAAGAACTTATCGTTCTATCGTTGAAATTTATGAGATTTATAAGGACATGGCAGTTATTGTTTTTTGCAAGCTTCCTATGCACGATATTAGCACGTGAACACCAGCACACATAACATGCACTGAGCGTAGGAGAGCAATAAAAAAGAAATATAATGATAATTACTGGGCATTTTTATTATACATGAGCACAAAGAACGTTTTGTACCAAAGAGAAGTGCCAAAGGAAAGAATGATTTCATTTTGTGGCATTTTGACATGAAAATATTTTTTGTTATTTTTTATATGTTATTATTACGGAATGACCTTTACACTTGACCTTGGGAATGGCCTTGGGACTTCACTTAATTTCATGTAAAATACAACACTAAGCAGTTGGACTACTGACTACTGTTTGTTCCATGTACTGTAACTCTGGTCAAGGCTACCCGCATGTACACACTCGTACTTATTTTTTATGTACCTTTTACATCTTAGGACTTTTGCACGAAGCCTGGATAGCATTATTCGTCCGATAGTAAAATTTTTAACCTTTAGAAAAGGTGTTTATATTCTCCTTAGGGTAAAAAAAGTGTGTACTGTTAGAAGCAACATTTAATTTCAATGATTCCTTAGTTCAAATGACATATTATTACCATTTAGGAGATTTTGTAAAAGTTCAAAACAATTTGCCATCTGATGGATAAAACTATTCTCTCTTCATGTAACATGCCGCAGGTTTTCCTTTATAATCACAATGAGTTTGTACCATGAAAGTCTTACCTACTTTTGTTTTCTGCAGGGAGCAACATTATGTCTGTCTTGAGCTCAGACAAGAAAACTAATGGTTTTAAGTTGATGAGATTAATTGTTGATGTTGGTGGAAAAGCTTTAAGAACAACATTGAGGAAACAACTGTCAGGTATTGATTTATATGATGCTTTAAATGATCCCGAGAATGCGCAACTACTTTCAAATCTAAAGAATAGACAAATCCATCAACATCAATGGGATCAACTGTATCCTGGTCCTCTAATATCACCAAATGAAAATAAGTTTGACATTACTTTACTCTGTATTCTCCTGCGTAATATTTGTGGTTTAAAACCACCTCGTGATCCAATATGGACGTCAGTAAATGACCCCACTGATTATTCAACTGAAGCAGATATTACCCGTATCAGGTTATTTCGTAATGAACGTTTTGCTCACTTACCTAGCACTTCAGTAAGCTGTGATGACTTTGAAAATTTATGGCTGGAAATAAGCGAACCATTAGGTCGTTTAGGAATAAGACAGGAAGAAATAGATAGATTAAAAAATGAGTTCTTTGGTAATGAAGAACGTGAAAGAATTTTGAGAGAATGGGATAGATTAAAGAGCGATTTAACTGATATTAAAAATGATCAGAGAGGTATTAAGAGAACAGTGGAGGGTGTCGAGAAAGATTTACAACAGGTAAAAGATTTTGTCACAGTAATGAAAGACGAAGTAGATGAAATACGACATCACCCTCACTTAGGTCCAGAAGAAGATATTTTGACAAAAAACCTTGTTAGCTGTAACATTGAAAGCGAAATTGAACATCATTATGAAAAATATTTGCTTGGAACACGGGAATGGGTTTTTAAAGAGTTTTTAGATTGGTTTAAAGACGATACTTCGCAAAATCGTGCATTTGTTATTTCTGCTGTTGCTGGTATGGGTAAGTCTGTAATTGCAGCTACTTTATGTAAACGTTATCCACAATACTTGACTGCAGTTCATTTCTTTCAACACAACAACAGTCGTTACAACAAAGCCAATGTACTTCTTCAATCTTTAGCGATGCAAGTTAGTCGTAAATTTCCTGCTTACAAACAACTTCTTGTGAAAAAACTTTCAGGTAAACTCTCTCAGCCTTTGAATAACATGAATGTTGAAGGATTATTTTCCCTTCTTTTTACTGAGTTGTTTTGTAATATCTCAGAAGCTCCCCATCGAATGTTAGTTGTGCTTGATGCTCTTGATGAATGTGGTTATCCAGAAAGGGATGACCTTGCTAATTTGATTGCTAATCACTTGCATAAACTTCCGCATTGTTTTCGCTTTGTAATTACAACCAGACCTAACGAAGTTGCTTTGAATAAGTTCGAAAAATTAAATCCACTATTCATTAATTGTAGCGATGATCGCAATTTAGAGGATATTAAATTTTTGATTTCCGACAGCCTTTCTAATTTGAAAGATATTTTGGTAGAAAAAGCTGACGGACTTATGTTGCTTGCATCACTTCTTAGCAGCGAAGTTAAAAATCTGGATTTGTTGAAAGGTTCCATATCAAAAGATCTCAGTGAATATTACGAAATTTGCTTAATAAGATTAAGTGAGGAATTATTCTATTCGTTTGATATCAGTAACAAAAAGTTTCAGTCAATTTTAAATGCTCTGGCTGTTGCTAAAGAACCTCTTCCTTGGGAAATGATCGATGACGTTCTTTGTTTGAATTCTAGTCGCGAATCACTTGGGGTTAGAAAAATTATCTCTTGTCTGTTTGTTACCAATGAAGAAGAATGTGTTTCGTTTTTTCACAAATCCTTAAAAGATTGGTTGTTGGATGATCGAAAACATGATTACTCAGTAAAAACTTTTTGTGGTCATCGACTTGTTTTACAATTTTGTTTAAAAACTTTGGATAATCTCAAAGCTGAAGGTGTAAACTATGACGTAATTAAGCATGTGACAGTGAGGTATTCAGTCAAGTATTGGTTGCATCACGCGCTGAAAATTTCCGATAACAATGATTTGGTTAAAAATGTTTGTAAGTATCTCATAGACTTAAAAATTTTATTTGCCTCTGTTTGGATTGATGCAGATCTTACTTTGGAAAATTATTTCTTAATTAATGAGCATGACGTATATTTTCATCTTCCTAAGGAAACTCGACCATTATTTAATGACATTTACGTTGTTCTTACATGGCAGTGTAGTTGTGATGACAAAGAGGAATTTTTACAAAATGTTCTCGATAATGTTAATGGTCTTGCGTCGCAGGCTTCCAATTTGCTTAAAAAACGTTTCAAGGATCTCCCATATATCGAGAACTTCGAGACAGGTTTTGTCAAAGCTCGGCTTTTTCGACTAGAAAGAAAACTAGAATCGCTAGATGTTTCTCGCAAACATGATTACGTCGTTTGTGGGTATCGCACAAACGTTGTACAACTTTTTTCGTTGAGGACAAACAAGTGCTTATGGATAAAAAACATGAGAAGTCAGTTAAAGGAAGCAGAAAACATCAGGTGTTGTGTAGTCTTTCATCCATTTGAAAATTTAATTTTTGCTTCTCAACTAGACAATGTAATGAATATTAAAGGGAAAATATGCCCCAGTCCGTTCCATTGTGATGATTCTACTTCTAAGTTCTTTACCAACAAATGTTTTTCTAAGGATAAGGACACAATGGTCACTAGTTACAAAGATATTTTGACCGTATGGGACGTTGAGAAAGGTGAGAAGAAGCAAGCTTTCACATTGCACAATAACGTAACTTCGCTCTGTTTTAGCAAATCCGAAAGTATTCTGGGTCTTACTGAGGAGAAGGAGGAGGAGGAGGGGGAAGAGAAGAGGGTGGTGTTTCGTATATACGATTTATCGAAAGGTTATGAGACATTCGTTTTCTCACATAACATGCCTGCTGGTCTTTATATAATGTCCAGTATAGGTGATAACTCTTGGTGCTGTAAGTCTGGTAAGGAATTATTCATTGTAAATCCCAATGGTGAAAAACTTACTAATTTTTCTGGTAAGAGCGTGTATGATTATTTGTATCCTCTTGATCCTTTTGATAACATCATTCCAAATTATTTTTTCCCCCACAAATACGAAAAACATTTTTTTTGTTTGTTAAATGACGACAATGTTCTCGTGTTTGGCAAAAAATTCTACCGTTATGTATTTTTAGTAACGCGCACACACTTAACAACTGATGTTAAATATGGCAGTGAAATTTGCACGAATGGCAATTTTCTATATCAGTTTAATGACTTTGAAGAAAGAAGTCAAGGAAAATCAAATTTGATCATTAAAAATCTGAATACGGGTGACACTTTTGTAAGGAAATGCCTTCTTAAGGACATGTTAGCCGTAAAAAATGCAGTAATTTTGCATAGAGAATATGATATTCCAGAGCTTTGGAGTAATGACTTGACAAATTTGCTGTACAGTTTTGATGAACTGAAAAAAACCATGAAAATTTTGAGTGTGAGTGATGTATTAATTGCTTGTCAGACAGCTGACTCTGTTGTGTTTTTTAATATCGAAAACAAGCGAGAAGAATTTGCACTAAATTTTGAAACTCATGTGTCGGTATTAGCATGTAGCGTTAAGTTTCACGTGTTTGCACAAGTCTATGTTGAGAATAAAAAAACTTACTCTTTGTGGTGTGGAGAAAATCTTGTAGATGGTTGGGAAGACATTTTTCAGCATCAAATAAGAAGTGTTGATTACGCTGAATTTTCCCCATTGGCAGATAAGTTGATGGTGTTACGGTACTACCATTTTCTACACGTATATGACGTCAAAGACAAACAAATTATTTATATCGTTACAGGGGATAAAGTTGACGGTAACATTGCGTTTCTAGATAGTAGATACATAATACATGAAGGTACCGATACCTTATGGTTGATTGATACTAGAAATGAGAGAGAGTGTTGCCGTCACGATTTTTCATTTGTCAGCGTGTATACACATTTCTGCCGCAAAAGCAAACATGTTTATTTCTTCTTTCGTGATAATAACGTCTTGGCTGATGGATTAAAAATCAACTTACCTCGAAAATAATATGGATCATTCAACGCAATATTTTTCAGTTTTTTCCATCGATGATGAAATATTGTTCTTATTCCATGAACATGTTTCTATGATGGCCAAGAAAACCCATGCATGCATGGATGTAATTTTTTTCAAACATCATTTTTTCAGTTACTGCAATTTCATTTCATTTTTTCTGGTGATCACGATTTCATGCCATTTTTTTCATTAGGAACGATTATGCTATTTTTTTACAATAACTGCGATTTCATCTCATTAGCTACATGTCACAACCAAAATTTTATAGCTATATATGCTTTTTTGATTGTTTTCATTTTTGATTAAAATTAACATATGCTGTATTATGTAAAAGGAATTCTTATTCTATAGCAACACAATGACAGTCAATTGTTACTATTGAACATTTTTATTACATAACTGTGATCAAATTATAAGATAATGTGAGGAGGACATGAAGATGTTAGCCAATGGAAACGTTTATTCACGTTGTTGTCATTTTTTTTGTTTGAAAATTGGCAAACAACGAAACACTAATTGATTCAAATAATGAGACACAATGTGTTTTGTTTCATTCTGTCTCAATCATTAAGTGATATAACTGTTCTCTTTAGTCTCAGTCAATAATTGTTACCAAACGAAAAAAACCATAAAAAGACTTATTCCATATAAGGTTCAAAACAATAAACTTCGATATATTCTTCAACAAACTCACAGCCCGAATTGGTCTAAATGTTTGTAAAAGAATATGTCGACGAATATGTTGTATAAATGACTAAAATAGTGATATTTGTTCGATTACTGTTATAAGGTTTTGGGCTAAGTTTGGCAAAGGTCAGCACGAACGTATTCAATTCTTGCACAATTGAGAGTGTCAATTATATATAAATTTAACAATAAGCATGGGCAGCGCAGTGTATTGTGTCTTGGAAAGATCTTGACTGGATTTATTTTGAAGAACGTAGAGCATTTTTTGAAAGCCAAGCTCATGCATATGCGGTTAGGAAAGTTTGTATTGTTAAAAATTATAGTTAGAGAGGCTCTTATCCATGACATTACTGTCTAAGTAAATTTAAATTCACTCTTGTTCATTCTGTAGATTACACTGCCTTTTACTACAAAACGTTGACTAGTATGAATGCTCAAGTAAATTTTAACGAGAAATATTAAAGCAATTATATAGTAAACCAAACCACCTGCACCACTAAATGTGAAGAAACATGTGAAAAAGTAAACTGTACAATAGAAATCGACTTCATAATGGACATTCAATTTTTTGATAAACAAGTGCCCATTGATTCTAAACGCAACAAACTATGTGTTGTTTTACAAACGAGAAAAGTTAACAAAAGCTATAAAGAGTTTTGCAAATATAAAGAAAGAACAAACGCTACAGTGCTGCATGTGAAAGGATGTTCGAGGATACATATATGACTTTTACAGAGAAATTTTAAATCAAGAATTTTTGCTTTGTGAACACCTGTGCTTTGTGAATCAATCGTATCACTTATTGGCTGCGACAAAAGAAAACTTAGTATTGTTGGACAAGCAAAGCCCATGAACTTAATTAAAGTGTATTTGTATTAAAAAGAGTTAAACAATTAAAAGAACATTATTCACTCAAAGATCAGTGAGCATACTGGAAATGGATGTCTAACGAGATTTGATATGTATTAATTTATAGCTTATTGAAAATTTTCACTGTCTAAATTCAAACTAAAGGAATGACTAATTTATCTACTAAAGCACTTGGTGGCATAATTTTCTATTTTTCTCAAACCACGAAGTTTCATCTGCGAGCAGAATTGGAAGACAAAGGCTCTGTGATTTTACTGTGATATTGGTTATTGACTTTGTTGACAACACTTTTAAAACCTGAAAATGAAAAAATGAATTGTTCTCATCCACGCAACCGTTCTCAAGGAAATTTCGAATGTTGAAAAATGTAAACAATTAAAGTGACTGAACATTTGTGAGAGAGAATAGAAGAATGTCCATTATTACAATGGTTTTGTAGCCAATGGGCTATCGTTCAGCATTTTTTTCGATGCCTCAACCTAGAGTGACAGTTTCATGTCTACTTTGTTTCATATAAATAGTATGTCTAGACTACAGTAACATCAATATGTGAAAGTAACGTCAATCTACAACGATGAGAAGTATACGACACTTTGAATGTTTTTCTCAGGAAGTTAATTTTTTAAGGATTTTTCAATTGGTTTTTATTCGAAATTTTCTATGGTTTTTATATGTTTCTTTATATTTGTCGTCATTTAATGTAGTGTAGCCAGTTCACTTATTAAGTTTTACTGTGCAAATTTAAAAATTGAAAATTAACGTATTCTAAAGAAATGAATGATGATGATGCTCAAAAATTTGCACAGCAGGAATAACAAGAGTGGGCTAGTTACATTATTAGTCAATGATTTATTGTTGTATGGAAGTATGTATATTTGATATTACTGTCCATTTGAAGAAATGAATTGTTCATTTTGTAAGACAAAAACAGGCAGTTGATATGTGTGTCAAAAATTTTGCAAAAACATATGAAATAATTTTAGTTGATTTTATTAACAAGTATTTGCATGACTTTTATTAATTTTGCACTGTAATATAGAATGTAGTCGTAAAGAAATTGTTTTGTTGAAAAATTATTGCGTGTTGTGTTGTGTGTGTGTTTGAATTATGTGACTCCAGTGATCTCTGACCTAAAATGTTGCTATAAATTATTTCATAGTTATCACTAGCGGCAGTTAAACCAAAACACGTGCTATAAAGAAGAAAATGATCTTATTTTTATTGACATCGAATTTTTGGCATTTTTATAGATAGGACTGAGCCTTTTTTTACGAAATATAAATCTTTGTCAAATGTTTCCAACAAAAGCAGTATAAAGATTTTGTTTTTATACACAAGATAGAAAACAATAAAATTTGAGTGCACGCTCCTGTTAACTAAGGGCAATATAAATATGCTCAATCCTTCCCCCATAACTTTTTTAAAGATGTAAAATTGTACAGTTGCAGATAATAGGTAGCTATGTGTTGTTTGTTCATTGTGTAAAACTTCTGCTGTAGTCCTTTTTATAATCAAGTAGTCTGTGCTTGTGGTTACTAGTTTGAGCAGGTTTGGTTTTGCTGGTGTAATGGTTTGCGCTGGTAAAGATATTTTCACGGTTTTTGCAGTCTGTAGTAGTGAAGGTCTCTGCCATCCTTGTTTTTTTTTTCATTTCTGGAAAGTGATTTTGGGGGCCATGGATTGCTGCCTATTAGTGAGATTTGGTTGAGATAGTTTAATCCGGTGTATATTTGGTTATCATGAACACTTCATTAGCATTAGAGCATGTGGGTTATTGTTCTTCAACTGATGTTAAATAGTGAAAACATTTCTGCTCCTCTAGTGATTCTTCAAATCTGTAAACTTTGGTGTGATGTGGATCGCGTTGCAGAACTTTGATGATGATGATCCCAATTTTAATCCCTTCTGTGGGAGGTGGCCCAGTTTTGTTTTTATATTTAATGTCCTATGCTTTTCTTGTGTTTTTGGAGCTTTATGGAAGGTGAGCTTCTCGAGTATGCTTGTGGCAGTTTTTTAAAGGCTCCTCTAAAGTCTGAGTGTACAATAACTTACGTTTTTTTATAGTGTTGCTCATAATTTTTTTAGGCAAACCATAAAACTCAACAGGTCTTAATCCCCACATTTAATTTTCAACTGTCGCATTAATTTTTTTCTTGGGTGTTATATTAGTTGTAACCAACTAGGTTATCATTGAAGGTACTTTAGAGTAAACCAATAGGGTTCTTTCTGTGTTTTTGCTTATCATCTATGTCATCTACACTACAGTCGAACAAGTTGATTGTATTTTTTCCTTATTTTTTGTTACTTTGCTGTGGGCTCTAACATGTATATACATAAATACGTATACATTTGCAAAAATTATTCCATGTCGGTTTTTAAGATAGGAAAAGTTTTTGGGACATTTACAAGTAGAAAATCAATTGTATCTCTACGTTTTCCAGCACGTGGTTTAATTATATCCCACCGAAATTGAGTAGGACCTGAAAATCTCCTCAGGACCTGAAAAAATCAGGTGACTCAACGGGATTCGAACCCATGACCTCTGCGGTGCCGGTGCAGTGCTCTGACCAACTGAACTATGAAGTCACACAGTGGTGAGCAGGTCAATATTGTTGGGCTCATGTTTTCTCGTGAAAGGAATGTCGTATGAATGTTTTTATGCAGTGCGGTAATTGAAATTAAATGAAGATATGATCTTCGCACTTTGCTGGACAATTTAAGCAATCGTCTCAGGACCTGAAAAAATCAGGTGACTCAACGGGATTCGAACCCATGACCTCTGCGGTGCCGGTGCAGTGCTCTGACCAACTGAGCTATGAAGTCACACAGTGGTGAGCAGGTCAATATTGTTGGGCTCATGTTCTCGTGTGAAAGAATGTCGTATGAATGTTTTTATGCAGTGCGGTAATTGAAATTAAATGAGCTATGATCTTCGCACTTTGCTGGACAATTTAAGCAATTGCCTCATGAACCTGAAAAATTCAGGTGACTCAACGGGATCCCGATTATCTTTTATATTCCTAATTTATAGTTCATTAACCAATATCCCTAAATATATCAGCAATCCTGTTATAGGATCAAGAACTAACATTGGGGCAATTGGAAGTCATCTTTATACTGCTAATTATGAATTAGTAATTATTGCTAGTTTGGTGCTACTAGTCGCTATGATAGGGGCTAAATTATTAGGTAAACAGCCAAATTCACCTTTTTTTATATAATTTCCAAGAGGAATCATCTCGTAGTAGGCAAGATCTTTTCCTACAAATCAGCAGATACACCTTCAGGTGCTGTCTGGTCTAGTGCTAATGCAGGTCTCCGCTTAGGAATATGGAGAGGAACATGGAATTCAAAAGAATACTAATACTATTTATCATTAATGGGACATTATCAATTGTAGTTTTAGGGGCATCTTATCTATTAGGATATAGACAACCCGACATGGAAAAAGTGTCAGTTTATGAATGTGGATTTGACCTTTTTGATAATCCGGGAAATCCCTTCTCCGTTAGATTTTTCTTAATTGGTAGCTTGGTAGCTCTTAATATTTGATCTAGAGATATCTTTTTTGTTTCCTTGGGCTGTTATATATATGGGTTTACCTTTATTTGGATATTGGGTTGTTATGTTATTTTTATTTATCTTAACTTTAGGGTTAATCTATGAATGGATAGAAGGAGGTTTAGAGTGGGAAAACTAGCTTCTAATTAGTAATGGCGCATGAATTATTTAGTGTTATCAATTATCATCTTATTAATCGGAATATTAGGTATTATTCTTAATAGAAGTAATTTAATTATTATGTTAATGTCTGTAGAGCTAGTTTTACTGGCTTCTACTATTTTACTTCTATTTGAATCTCGTGTGCTCTATGCGCTTTTTGGTCAAATTTTTGCGATTGTAATTTTAACTGTTACAGCTGCAGAATCTGCCATTGGTTTAGCTATTATCGTTTACGTGGTACAATTGCTGTTCGAGCCTTAAATTTGTTGAGAGGTTAACCCTAAATTAAAATGAATCAGATACCTATGCAATATTTTAACTTAGCAGAGGAGAATTGTTCAAATATTGGTTTATCAGTCATCCAGCTTATTCAAATTGGTAAGTTCTATGAACTTTGGCATGAGCCTGACACCCCTAGTAGGCAACAAGCATACTCTCAAGCCGAGTTATTATTATTGATTATTGTTCTACTAAAATGGGGAAGACTACAAAAATTCAAACTTCTTAATCCTATTACAGATTACTCTGAATGATATTTTCCTTATGAAGATATTGCTACATTTAAACAATTAATTAGCGAGAAAATCTTTGACAGTTCCGATTTAAAACACATTAAAGATTTATATTCTCTACACCTTCAATGGGCAATATCTGCTTCAAGTGATATTATATTACCACCTAAAAAGCTTAGTCAAATTTATCATTCTTAATTATTTGCTAATCAATTAAGAAACAAATTAATAAATAATATTCAATTACCCCCTCAGTTAAGCCCCAATTAGAATCGTTAATCAAAGCAATAGGTCTAATTTTCCAGGTAGATAATCTTCTAGGTGATTTTAAATAAGTATTACAACCATCTGATAATCTAACCAAGCTTCTTTCACAACAACAAACTTTAAGAGCCCAACTCACAAAGTGGGCCGAGCAGACTTCAAACATTGTGTTTCAAGATACAATTTCTATTAAAGTTGATTATTTTAATAAAGAGGGTTATGCTTTCTCTATTTTATCTAAAAATCTAACTAAGTTAGAACATTACATGACTAGTGCTTCTATATCTGATAATTCAATTATTGTGTTGGGTAAAAGAAGAAACTACCTTATAGTTACTAGCCCCACCATTCACAAAGTGTCAATCGAATTAAATTTATTAGAAGAGCAGATTATTGTTTATAAAAAACAGACTTATAAACGAGAACTTAAAAGATTATATTTTAGACATTTTGAGTTATTTTCGCCTTTAGAAAATATGATTTCTAGAATAGATATTGCATTAAGCGGAGCTATCGCGGCTATTAAGTTTAATTATACTAAACCTTTTCTGACACCAACAAAATCCCAACAATCCAATGGTCTAATTGAAGCAATTAATTTACGACATCCATTAGTAGAACAGTTAAACACTCAAAAAGAATGTGTGGCTCATAATATAAGTCTAGAAGATAAAGGAATGTTAATATTCTCAGTAAATGGTGCAGGTAAATTCACTTTACTTAAAGTAATTAGAGTCAACGTAATATTAGGTCAAGGTACTTTTGAGGTCGAAATAAGAGATCTTTCAACTATATTAAAGCTAGCTAGTTAGAACAGTTTAGTTTTAGGTGATGAAATTTGTCATGGAACAGAAGTTAGTTCAGAAACAGCGATATTAGCTGCAACAATTGAAAGATTAACAACTGCACAAACTAGTTTTGCTCTTTCTACTCATTTACACCAAGTTTATTCTTTAATAGATTCACCAGTTCGGTTCTATCATTTATCTGTTATTCACCACGAAGATTTGGGCCTAATTTATGAACGTAAATTAAAACTTGGCCCAGGACCTTCTCAATATGGCATTGAAGTTATGGGCCACATAATTAATGACAAAAAATTTTATAATAGTGCTTTAAAATATCGTAAACTTATTAACTGGAAAGCACAATCTTGAATTGAAGCAAGCTCTTTAGCAGTATTCCGCCCTTCTAAATATAATACTCAAGTTTTTATTGATTCATATGAAATATGCGGAGCTGCAGCGGAGGCTATCCACCACATTCAACCTAAGAAATTAGGTAGTAGAAGATTAAATCGAAGGTCAAACTTAGTGCCAGTTTGCTCAAGCTGTCATTTAAGTATACATAGAAATAAAATTTCTATTTTAGGTTGGAAGAAAACACGAGGACATAAGAAATTATATTGGGTTTATCTTAATAAGTACTAGACTATGGAACTGAGTAAAATCTAGGGTCTATCAGTAAGGACGTAAACACGAAATAACAAGGGAGAGACTTTGAACTTGTTTATCCTAACTGAAAAGGGTTAATTGAATAGTTATTTGAAACATCTTATTAGCCTATGAGGAATA